GCCCTGGCACTGGAGCCTGCTGGGCTGCTCCTGCGGGTCCAGCGCCGGGCAAGCGAGCTGTGAAGCTGGAGCTAAAACTGTGGCATCCATCTGCGACTAACCAGAGCTGAGGGCCTGGCTGCTATGTGGCAGGAGGAGGGAGGGAAACCCAAGCCCTGCGTTGTCTCCGCACATTGAAATTTGCTAGCAAGACCATCCGTTTCTGTGTAAAAAAACCTTTCTTCTGACTTTGTTTTCTTTTTCTTTCCTCCCAGCCCAGCAGCTGTGGTCCCCCTTCACAGGGGGACCAGCTCGCACTGGGGAGCTACAGGGACCTTTCAGCTTTTATAGCTGATGCTGTGGCAGAGCCCAAGCCCTGCGTTGTCTCAGCACATTGAAATTTGCTAGCAAGACCATCCGTTTCTGTGTAAAAAAACCTTTCTTCTGACTTTGTTTTCTTTTTCTTTCCTCCCAGCCCAGCAGCTGTGGTCCCCCTTCACAGGGGGACCAGCTCGCACTGGGGAGCTACAGGGACCTTTCAGCTTTTATAGCTGATGCTGTGGCAGAGCCTCCTTGATTTTGGTAATAACACAGTGCCGATAAGTGCCACAGACTTTCCCAACAAGTTCCCAACTGCTTGGCAGCAGTTCCCCGAGCAGCCCCCTTGTCCCCCTGCATGTGCCTCCGGGCTGGTGGAGGGCAGGACAGTCCCTGCAGGGTTTGGGCACTGTCTGTACCCGCAGGCCACGGTGGCTGCACTGGCAGCCTGGGCAGGGTTGGTTCATACGAAGCGTTGGGCTGAGAGGAACGTAGAAGGTTGAGGCCAAAAGGCTTGCGATGGCATTGCTCAGGTTTTGTTTGGCACCCTGGAGGGCATCATTGTAGTATTGCCTTCTCCAGCGAGCCTTCGTTCAGGACACGGCTTGCTTGGCAGAGGTGGCCCCTTGGAGCTCCAGCTCCCACGTAAGCATTGCCTCTGATTTCATTACTACTGTGCCACTGCACACAGGCTGCTCCTATTCTAGACTCAGAGGCAGTCCAGGCAGCTACATGTGGGGTTTTTTCTTTTTTTTTTTTTTTCCCCCTTCTTTTTTTAGGAAAAAAAAAAAAAACGAGTTATTGAGATTAGTTGCTTTGTGCCTCAAAAAAGCTGGTGTAATTTGTAGGCTGTTTATTGAACAGAGTTGTTACAGTTCTTGATAGCAGGGCATTTAATTCAAACTCAGTCTTGTTCATTCAGTTGCAAATATTCATTGTTTATCTCATATAAATCATTGAATAAATACGAATGTGCAATTGAGAGTTTCAGTTGGGCTCTAACTGATGTTGACAGTCAAGCTAATACTTTCGGTGCCTGGTGTTGTCCATAGATGTGCTTTCCATTGTGTGGAAAATGATGGATAAAGGGCGAAGGGTTTTTTTGTGTTTTGGTCTTCCCTCTGTGAGGAGGAAACCCATCAATTTTCACCCCCTTGTCCTTGGAGCTAGTTAAGGCGATATGCTTTGGAAGCAAAAGGAGTATTGCCATGACATCTGTTTACTGGGTGCTGCTTACAGTAACACTGATGTGGGGGTGCCTTTGGTGGGGTACCCCAAGCCAGATGGAGGATTGAACCCATGGGGAATGTGGGCCCAGACCTTCCTCCATTTCTCTGCTACATGATGGGATCTGCTCTTTGCCTCATCTCACAGTGCCCTGCAAGTTGGAGGCCTCTTCCCTGGTTTGTGTGTGGTCAAAGCTGGCTTCCAGTTGAGATCCTGCTGCTACCCGGTAGTGATCTGAAGGCCAATCTTGTGATACCTCTCCTGAGTCCTGCTCTTGGACTTCTTCACCGGGTCTGGTGCTCTGGGAAAGCCTGGGCAGCTGCAGTCCCTCCACTTCTTGGTTCATGAAGAGAAAGGAGCACTTTTCTGGGGTGAAGCAAGTGCTGATGACATGCCAGGAATGTTTCACATCTTCTGCAGTGCTATGGCCACGGTATTTGTATTTGTAGGTGGACTCCTTAAAAATCAAGCTTTGCACTGTCTTCAGGTGCTGTGTAACTGTAAGTTATACAAGGTTGCTTGCAAAGAAAGTTAAATTAAAGATGCACTTTTTTTTTCTTGTAAGAATTAGCATGGACTGCCTAGAGGCTTACTGTAGTATAATCTAGGTAAAATTGGTGTGTTTAATTTGAATTAAATTTCTTTATTGTCTGTGTAGGCAAGCCCAATTGAAGGGTCATAAGCGCTGAACCTATAATTGGAAGCTTGTTTGTACTTGATGATAGAGCTTCTCTACAAATGGAAACAGATCAGTGTGTGGAATAAACTGCCTTGAAATACCTTTTGTGGAATAGGCGTTAGGTAGGAAGTCTTGATCAGACAAGTTTATTAACAGCGGTCAACGCACAGGGAAACAACAAAGAGGTGCGATTTATTGGGTTTGCTGAACTCTGCTGCGGCGATGACCAGGCTTGCCATCCTGGCGGCATGCTTCCCCACGCTGTGGAGCTTGGGAGCAAAGAGGGATATTGTGTGCGAGTGACAACCCGAAAGTTGTAGTAGGAAAGCTGCTGAGGGGAGGTGGTGCAAGCCATCGCTGGTGCTGTCGCTGCTGGAGGTTGGGGAGAGGGGGGGAAGGCACCAGGACAGGCTCCCAGCACTTGAGCCTGAGAGCAGCTCCTGACCCAGGTGTCCCAGGCCCTGGCAAGTCTGAGAAGTGTTATGAAAGGAGGACCGAGGGGAAGGGTTTGGAAAGGGTTTGGTTGATAGAAGGAGGAACAAAGACTGAAAATGGCAGGAACCGAAGTGAGCAGAGGGTATGGACAAAATAGAGGATTATACACAATTTATCGGTTGTGTGTTACTCAACTGATTTGGCAGGTACAGTAACATGCAAAGTGGATATTTAGACATTTTGCATTAGAGGTCAAGATTAACATCTAACGGGAAGGGAGGCTGAGAAGTAGGATGATTCCCAGTGTGAATGGGGAAGAATTTTACAAAACGAGTGGGAAATAAGCGGATTCTCAGTTGATGTGTGTACGGGATATTTGCTTGAAGAAGAGGCCAGTGTTAGTCACAGTAGTAACGATACCAGCTTAGTTGTTAATATTTTTTTCTTGACATCAATAAATGCCTTACATAAAATTATTTCATCTCCCTCCATAGTTTAATAAGTAAGAAGCTTCATTGTGCATTTAATCTTTTTCAAAGCAACAAAAAAAATTATACTGCATCAAAGCAAACCTTGGGTCCTAGTACATCTTGTTGCCTGAAAGACTGTTTTGGGACAATGGAATGGATGTCTAAGGTCAGCTGTTACAGAGAAATAGTAAATTATCTGACAAAAACATTACTTGGGTCGCACTCTTGTCATGATTAACTGTAGAAATTAAAATGTCAGTAGTTAATCTGCTTTACATTTGGTCTTAAATTGCTCTTGATTTATAAGAGCTTTCTTGTCCTGTATTTTAAGTATCTACTTAGACAGTAGATCTCTCCAGGAAAAAGAGTAAACTACTGGATTTTTATTTTTGTTTTTAATCTCTGGGTCTTTGGCCTTGTTGTGATTTATTTTCCTCCCTGGAACGCTGCATTCCACAGCTTGTAATGTGAGGCCAAGGCCTCTTTTTTTTTCTGCTTAGACTCATGTATAAAGACATTTTGGAAGATTTATTGCATTCTTCTAACTTCTAAACATGAGGGAAACACAAATGATGATCCTCAGTTCAGACCAACAGCAGAGAACGAAAAAAAGTTGATATTTTTAAGTGGATGTTTCTCTGTACAGTCCTGTGTATTTTGCTGGGCTGTGCTCATCTCTCTGCTGTGGGGTCGGTGACCGTAAGCAAAAAGCTGCATTAGAAAACTCAGGGTGCTGATGTCTTCAACATTCAAGCCAAGTCCTCTGGAGTTGCTGTTGAGTCATGTGGATTTTCGTGGGCATCACTGTAGCAGTTGGGATTAACCCTGTGAAAAACTGGCGTGGTGCAGTCGCTGGGGCAACAACAGGAAGGCTGTGGGCTTCGCTTTTTGGGTCACAATTAACTTTGCTTCCTGGTGTCCGTGGGCTGGCCAGACACTGTAGCAGTTGGTTTGCTAATATCATAGGCATTCTTGAAAAATTTTAGTTGGTTGGTCGTATTTTTTTTTCGGTTTGTAAACCTGTCTCTCAGATGGCTTCTATACAATACCTTTTTACCTTCACTTTCCCCATCTTACTGAATTTTACATTTAAACTACCATGTTTCACATTATCCCTCTGGTTACATGGATTTGAGCAACTTAATTTGAATCAAGTGTGTGACAAGACTTTGATATTTCTGTTTTCCATGTTCAAATATCAGCTTTATCTTCTGTAAGACACTGCAGTTTGTAAAGTACACCTAGGGCTGATAAAAAATTTTCTTGCATAGGAAAGGGCAGCAGAGGGAGGTTGGTTGCCTCTTTTCTGTTACCCACCCCCCCCCCCCCCCCCCCCCTTGATTTATTGCAATGACACTGGCGACAGGGACATGCGCGTGACGGTTCCCGATCACCACAGCATGCAGTACTTGGCATGGGTCAGACGCCAGCACGTCTGGCCTGTGTTATTGCGGAAAAGCCGATGGCGCGTGACCGGCCGCAACGGCTGCTGCCCGTGTGGTGGGCGGTGGCCGTGAGGGATGGCCTGGCTGGAGGCCACGGGCAGGCGTCTTGTCCTTGGCTAGAGGCAGCAGCGGTGGGGAGCCAGTGCCTGTTGTCACCCTTTGCTTTGATCCAAATGTGAATCTTTGAATTAAAGAAAGAGACCTGAACTTGCAGCGACTGGGAGTTGTGTTTGGGAGGGGCAAGGGTTCAGGTCGCTGTGTAGAAGGGGCTGTTCTAAAATGTTCACAATGTGTAGACTTTTCAGTAGACCATCTTGCGCGTTTTCAGAGAGCAGATTCAGTAATGATCTAGCTCAGATCAGGGCTTCCAAGATGCAGACAAGCCTGTTTCTGCCTTTAAATAGAAGTCTTGCGGAAATCTCACTAAAATGATGAAGACTGTTGTAATTCAAGTACCAAACTGTTGATCAGGAAACTTTTGGAGTACGTTCTGCCTTCCTCCCATCCAATATGGATCATCAGTGTTAGACCAAAAACGCATCTCCTTGTGAAAAACCCTCTAAGACATCAGTTGTGTATGGGCTCCGTGTGGGCTGGAAAGACTAAGTGTGACTTGTAGCTTTTGCAAGAAGTGGGGATTGTGTAGGTTTGTTGATGTGCTTTACCTAAGCACTTAATTCAGCATTCTCCTGAACTCACTTGACCCAGCTGTTGTGAAATCTCTTGATAACATTTAATGACATTATTCAAGCAGGAATTTTTGTCACTTGGCATCATGTCACAAAATGATACAGTAAGAGAGAAAGCATATGTGCTCCTGTCTTTGAAAACCCACTCTGATGTTCTTTCCTCGTGTTAATAAATTGTGTTACAAATTAAATCTTTTGTTAAAATATAATTTCCATTAGATCTTGAGCTTAGGGGTAATTTGTCAGTGCAGAAGATTAATTAGACATTGTTTTGTGATATTCTCTTTAAATTGAATGCTTAAAAGACTTTTTTTTTTTCTTGTGCCAGAATAATTGCGCAGGATAAAAATGTGATTTTTAACATAAAGAAGTGAGGAATATAAAAAACTTCATGCTGGTGGTTTTCACGGTCTTTTAAAAGCATCAGTGAAATTAATTTAATTGCAGTCATATGCCTCAAACTCCTGATTTGTTGGTGGGTTGCTTTCTTTACATGCTTGCTAGTCAATTTAAAAGCGTGTATTTGTGTAAAATACTAGTTATTCCAAATTACATGGCATACAAAAAATGGTTTTCTGAACCAAATATAAAGATACAGACTCGCCTAACAAATGCTTGTACATTGTGGAGTACAATATTGCACTGCTCATGCAGCAGTATTTATGAATAGATATAATATTTATGAACAAGGAAAGTGATATATTTATTTGCTAAAAGGCATCATTTTCATTATATGTCTTTGACTTAGTATGTGATTTAGGGGTTGTTGGCTTTCCAAATGGAGTCCCATATAAAATTATTTGATTGATTAATTATGAGGCTCCATTGTTTCAGAACAAACCCCTTGACGAAATATCAACCTCCAAAAACCCGTTTACCTAGTGCTCATCTGCAGTCTGACCTTTAATCTCAGCGTGTGCTGCTGTAAGTTCTCCAGCTTCCTACAGTGCATCGGAGAGCATCCAACTAGCATCTTCCTACAGCAGTGGTTGGGGATCTGGATGGTGCTTCAGGAGGTGACATGGGAGTCTGCCCATCTACGCAATGAGTCGTGCCCACGTCCTGAACGTTCTGGTGTGCTGCTGAGGACTTCCCTCTAACTTTTTTTTCTTTGGTCCCATGTCCAAGGCTAATGTTCTTGTTGTAAGATGATGAATTAATTTTCTCTACTTGTCCTTCTTTCTCATCTGGGTAATATTTTTGGGAAATATGAGTGTAGATCTCACTCTTTGTGTCTAGGGCTTGTCATTGTGTCCTAAAGCAGATCTGGCAAAGTGCTGCAGGTAGCACAGCTGTTGAGCAGGTGGACCTTGACACTGCTCTGGGAATGTCCCCATCACAGCAAGGCTGATGAATTTTACCCAATTCTGGAGAGAATAGAATTGGGCTAATAACCCCATTGATTTCTGAGCAGATATGAATCAGGACATAGGGTCATATCATCAAAGCTTTGAAACAGGCTGTCAAAACCATGCCAGTATGGTTTGTTTTCACAGTTTCTGCATGTCACCCTGTTTTTAACATTCATCAGATATCCCTGTCCTCACTTACCTGTCTCTTCAATCTTTCCTTTTTGACTAGAGAAAGAAATCTGACTCGGAAGCATGCAATTACTTTCTCTTAGTCGTACTTGCTTTCTTCGTCAAAACTGACACTAAACAGTGCTCCTCCAGCCCTCGGATGTGGGCTCTCCATTTCAGCAAGCTGTTAACATTTAGGCATCCAATAGTTCCCTCCTACATTATTTTCGAACCCCAGAGTGCCTGCTACAGCTTTTTCCCCGTGTTACCCAGGGAACTTCGTAGCATTGGTCCCGCTGCTTTTCAGATTACTTCCTCATTTGAGTCCCTTTCTGCCGTGTTCATCACAGCACTAGTAAGCCATGGTAGGGACAGTAGAGTAGTTTTGAAGTGTTGTTTTCCTTTTCCAGCGAAATGCTCTTTACTGTTGTTTAGCTGAGTTCACTATTTTGTCTTTTATTTCTTGAGCTTGTTCTTTTTGTTGTTGATCTTCGCATGACTCCTTCCTATCTCAACCTCTAATTTTCACTTCCATAATAACTTTGGGAGTTCTTAATTTGCGTGCTGTCTCTTTAGGGTTTAATTTATAGTTTTCCATGTATTCAGCGTGTTTGTTATTTTGGACCATTTATATCTTGAGAGGAAAGAGGGTTTTGCTGAATTCTCATTTAGGCTTGTCTTAAATCTTATTCCAAGTTTCCTGCATATTTTACTTAACCTTCCAGAAATGCTGGCAAGATCCTTGAGGATGGACACTCCTGCGCTCTGCCAACAGGCTCCTCTTGAAGTTCGGGAGCCAACTTGTTCATCTTCCTCTTCTGCATGCTGACCCTGCAGAATAGCTCTTGGTTCCTATTTCCTGAGGATTTCAACTGCTGTAATATTTCATGACGTGATCTTCTAGTTACTAACAGTAAAGTTCAAGGTAGCTTTTTCATGTCCTTATCCTAATAAAAACGTGAGTCAAGATGAAATAAAACAAAGCAGGCCTTTCAGGGCTTGAGCAGCAGGACTGCAAAAAGCCCATTTTAAGGAAATTAGGTCTGCGCGTGTGATCCTGCAGCCCTGTCTGATGACTTTGATCTTGCTAGATGATTTTGACCGAGTTTTACAGTGGGTTTAAGAAATCTGAGGGATGCGTGGTTCTGGTAAAAATTAAAAGTAAAGGAAAAGTAACTCCCCAGTGTTGGGGAAGAGGTCCTCCTCCTTTCTGATTTAGGTGGCAGCCATTATGACTGGTGGGTGTGTTGTCTAGCTGATTGACACACAGCCCTGTCTCTGAGTCAGCTCACAGAGCCGTTTCCTCACCCAAACAAGAAGGCAATGTGTGGGAGAGCTGGAAGTATGAGAACAACCAGCCAGAAGAAGATAAAAGAGTGGGTTTGAGTGAGAAGGATGAATCTGCAGAGACCATCTTCGATAGTCCTGCCACACACAAGTCAGTCATCATGTTGGTTTTGTTGGTGCATTTCTATCAATTACTTATGTTAATAAACGTGCTTAGTGACATATGGGGTGCTCTGCCTACCCTACTAACCTGTGCATCATGTATTAAAGAACAGAAATTACAAATATGAAGATTCTCCTCCTAGAAGTGATGTTTTGTTTCCTTTCCATGTTCACATGAGACGCACTCACAGGATACGTGCCACCCCCTTTTTGTTTCCTAATTCTCTCACTAAGTCTATTTTTTCTGTTCTAATTCCAGGTTGATACATGGCCTCTGTTAAGTTGCATACTTTTCTAGGATTTGCTCTCCTTAAATCCCTTTTATTTCCAAAGCTTCCAGCTTACAATATTTTTTGTTCTACAGTGTGACTTTGGGGTTTTTCATTGTGGTTCTTCTGACTAAGAACTGCAGTGTGTTACTCTTGAGATGTAGTTACCTCTAATTCCACTTGCACTTTGTGTGATTAGTCTTGGCACCGCTAACACTGTTTTCAGACCCAAAAGTTTTGCTGTCAGTTGATGCTGTTCACATTCGTTCTGTCTGTTAGATATCTGGACTGCTTGCCCCTGGATCATGTACAAGTGGCTCCTTTCTCCATCCTGGCCAGCATCTCTCTGCCCTGTACAAATGCTTGTCCTGTCACTTTTAGGGTTGTTTACCACAAAATAAGGCTCAGATCTCTCAGTGTCTGTCTCTTTCCCTCAGTTAGGGATTGTGCTTTGGATGCTCTGAATCTATAGGAACTTTCAGAGGATTTGCTCATGTATCCTGTTGATGTCTGTGGTACCTTCAGCACCTGTTAGAAATTTGTTTCCTGGACCTGCTTTTCTACCCAGCCTTCCCCCGGTACACTTCGTGCTGGTGCAAGTGACAGCTGTAACAGTGTGATAGCCTGTGCCGGCATTTGGTATGCCTAGGATATGGTTTTAATGAACAAATATCATCAGGCAAGTCTCCTCTGTCAGCTGGTGGGATATCAGAGTACAGAGCTTCGATGTTAAGTCCAGTCTCAGTTCAACCTCTTGCTTCTTCAGCTTCTTTTTCTCACTTGTCTCAGCAAGACAGACATGACTGTTTTCCTGAATGGCCTCCTATGAGGACAGTTGTTCAATCTTTCGTTACCAGGAGCATACATATTTTTTTACACTGAAAACCTCTGAGAGGCTTTGTCCTTCTGCGCCGATGTGGCCCCTTGTGCTGCCCTGTCCGTCAGGCAGTGCTGCGTGATCCCCAGCCCGCAGCGGCAGCCCTGAGGTGCTCCCCAGCCCTCAGGCTGACGGTTATTGCGCTGCTTCTGTCTGCTTTATGAATATTATTTCAAAGGATTTTGGAAGCATTTTTTTTTAATGTTCCACATCATTAAAGTATTTGCATTAACCCCATGCTTGACTTTCTTACACTGAAACAGTGCCGTTAGCAGGGACTAGCATTGCATGAGTAGCATTGGCTGTGAGATGCAGGCATACGTCTATAAGGATGAGCTGCCAAGATGTAAATTAAAAGAAAAGTGGAAGCTGAATTCCGAAGCTATTGTTTCACAGTCTTTAGTGATGTCATTAGTATTCATAAAAGTTTAACTAGATTGGGGATGTGTACATCTTCTGAGCATATTTGTGATGGTTTTATAGAAGGTGCGTAGAAGTGTTTTCTGAGTGTTTTCTTAAATTATATCTTTTTTAGAGCTTCTACTGTCTGTTTGGAACAGGCATCAGAAATTCGTATCAAAAGTCCATTAATTAGAAATTGGTTTGCCTGTTTGTTTCCAAATATCTGCAGCACACTGAACTTAATGTGCTACTTACATTAGGAATAATGACCTAACCTGATAGCGGTCCTGACTGGAGAATTGAATGGAAACATTTAAGTGGATTTCAGATCAAACATATAATCACTTGCAGATTGTTAGAGCAATAGTTTTCATTCGCTGTTTTGCACTGTAAAACATCTCCTCCCAGAGTAATTTGAGTATAAGTGGGGTTTACTGTAAGGGGTGGATTTTTGTTTGGTTGGTTTGGGATTTTTTGGAAACAATTATTACTTGGTTTATTTTTCTACTGATAAAGTCTAACGGTAGTCCAGTGTGAAATGAGATTACATTTGCCCTTAAAAAGGAAAAGACCTTATAGTCCTCAGTGCGTTGTCCCTATGTACTGGTTTCATGTGACTCCCGTGTATGTGTTTGGGGCTTCAGTGATTGTTAGAGAAGCTTTAGATGAAGGTATGGCTGGCAGGCTATTGTATTTTACAAGTCTGCACACTGATAAACTAGATAAGGAATACGAATGGGTATGAAAGCTCCATTCTCAGATAGGAGTTTTTGAATGTGTACTCTGATTATTATATTTTCTTTGTTTCCCGTCCTTCAGGTATTCACTTATAAACAGAGCACAATCACACACCAAAAAGTAACGCCTATGCATCAAACAAGCGCAGAGAGTGTGGAAGACATGGCAGCACTCGTAGATCTCCATGAAGGCTCCATTATGTACAACTTATTCCAGCGATATCAGCAAGATAAAATCTACGTAAGTTTCTTCTAAAATTAAGAAAAATATCCAGAGGGAATGTTTTTGAATGTGTAAGTGCTGTGTGTGTTTTGCTGTTCTGTGGTATCTCCCCTCCTAATGTTCTGCAGTTCTTTGTGTATCCACGTAGAGCTGAAGTGTATCTCATCCAGTGACGTCTTGCCAACAATGATGGAAGGAGAAGGTAGCTCAGGGCTGGCCAGGCAATCCTTTGGAAACCTTGAAAAACTGGCATGCTTCATATGCTTTTACACTTCCAGTGACAGAGCTGTGGAAAGGGCTCTCGTTTTTCTCTTCTTCTTTAGGCTTTCTGCCCCAACAATATATGCTATTGTCACCAGAGAGGATGTGGTGGGATTTAGTCTGTGACTGCCGTTTGAGATCCCATCAGGCCAAGATCCAGTTCTGATCGGCTTCCTCTTTTCTATTGTAGTAGAAAGTGGATGGTATTACAATCGTTAAGCTGAGGACCTGTGCGGTTAAATACAGACAGTCAGAGTTTGGGGTATATGAGAACAGGTGGCTGTTTATCAGTTTCAAAAACTAGGAATTAGTCTGCACAGAATTCTTTTTCTCAACTCAGTAATGAAGATTTTTGTGATTAGGTTTACCTGCTGTTTAAATACTTTGGTTAATCTTGAACTGACTAGATGTGAATCTTTCCTGAACCTGGGACTATACTAAATGTGAGAAAGATACAAGGAATATTAGTGGTTGCTACAGATTGTGAAATCTCACTTTTCAGTGGCTCAGTGGTTGGTATTTCTTTGGGGTTTTTTTGTTCTTTGTTTTTTTAATTAATAATTGCAGAACATAAGTTTTGTTTTTATGACCTGTCTAGGCCCTTGATTTGGCCACGTGCGTGCTTTATTCCAAGCTTCTTGGCTTCCTTATTTTTAAACATGAACATATCTTCATGTGAAAATAAGCTTTCCCTGTATTTAGAAATTTCTTTATGATAAAAAGCAAAAACGGGCATGAGGAAATTATATTCCTTTGCACATTACCTTTAAAGTGTCTAGTACAGAGAATCCTAAATGTTGAGGTCGTTCTTTTCACAAAAGTCTTTATATATGTTTGTTTTTCTCAAAACAAATGAACCATTTTGCCTTTCAGAAAAATCAGTAAATGAAAAATTTATACCATATATGAACAGTCCTGCACATGCAGGGGAAAAATAGCTATTTGGTAAGAGTTTAGTTTTTGATCAGTGTTACTAAATTAGAATATAATACTCAGTGTGAATAAAATTTTTAAAAAAAAAAGTTTTCTGAGCCATTATGTGTGCTCAGATGGAGGACACTTCCCCCTTTTAAAAAGCATGTGTGTAAAAGGGGGTGATTTTTTGAAGAGGCAAAGAATAGCCTTGTTCTGAAGAGACATGTCCTAGCTTATTTCTTGGCTTGTCAAGGCAAGTTTAGGGTATTCTGATACTTGGTGCTCAGTGCCGTGTTTCTAGACAAACAGGTTTGTGTGCTGTTAATGATGACAGATCTTCAATTGTTGCTGATTTCTCTTTGTCCCTTCAGTTTTGCTAATTTTAGTGCTTACTCTTTTGAGTCCATCTCAGCTGAAAAATGATTGAAAAGGTAGTCGGAAAAAGGGTATGTTTTGAAATGCATATGAAAGCCTCTCTGTTGTCCTATGTACGTAACCAGGACCTGATGTCAGAAGCATCTTCTTTTCACAGTCCTCATTGGTACCCTGCTCCTGCTGTGCCAGTGGTAGTGTTTTAGCAGGACACAACTCCAGGAATAGAAACCCCAAGAAAAGCCGATTAAATAGCTCGAATAATTTTATGAAACCTCATAGAGATATGATCATGTGTTGGAGGAGGAGGAGGTGTTGTCATTGCAAAGGGAACTATGTCTTTTCAAGCCAAAATCTCCTAACTGTATTGAAAAGTTCAATGATATTTTAATGCTTAATGTTAATGCACCTTTCAGTCTTTCAGTCGTCTTTTTTTTTTGTTGTTTTTTAAACATTTACCTTTGAAGGCATACTTGAAGCTGAAGAAATTAAGTTCCTGGTCATTCTGCTTTAGGACCAGATTAGTTCTTGTACAGCATAGTAAGAAGCCATTGGGAGTTCATGCCAGGAGGAATCAAAACTTTCCAGATGGTATATTTGTCTTCTCCCTTCCCTCCAAAAAGTGCTCTTCCTTGGCCAGGAATTGCTTCATCAGTGTAGTGCACATACTGTCTCTTGTATCTGCCTCCGCACCGTGGCTGTATCCGTCCCCTCTGCATTAGGGATAAATCGGGAAGGCATGTGCCCCTCTCCACTCTGAGTTTAGGGGCTGATCATCCCATTGAAAGACTTCTTGCCATCCCCAAATGTAAACCACCATATAATTGCCGTGGCCTGGCATTTAGCTTACAGCTCCCTCTTTACTTCCACTCTGTGCACCTCCTTGTCTACGTCCTGAGTGGGTGGAAAAGATATGCAAAGTTGTATGCTGGCATTTTTTGAGGTATATGCTTGTAATATTACAAGGATATTAGTGTGGTTCTTGAGTCTGGCAGCTTTTTGTTAGTTTTCTTAGTGGCAATGAGACCGGGAAGCACCTTTCTACCCTTAATGAGGAATATGCTTAATTACATAAGTTTTGGGCCTTGCTTCTTCATACATATGCAAAATTATATGAAGTGCAATATACTAAATTGTAGTGTAAAGTATGTATCATTTTTAAAATACAGAAGAAACAATTAAAAGGAAATTTAAACAGTTACTTTCTCAGGAAGACAATTATTTATGCAAATCTTCCACTGTTAACTTGTGTGTTTGTCTGTATTTGGGGAGCTGTTTCTCCAGGAATGAGCGTTTCAGTAAATATCTTCAGATGTTTGAGTTCAGTTTAATCTTCCTTTACTTAATAACATTTTTGTCTCACATAATCATAGCCGTGTTCCTAAACTCTTCACTACTTCCTAGTTAATACTATAAAGATATTTGCTATGGATGCCAAGTTTTGTCAAACATGTCAGTGACTTTCTTTGCTGTTGCCAACAACTGCAGCTATAAAGGGTCAGCAGTGGATTTTCTATATTTCTTGCTGTTTCTTGGGGAGGAAGTAATATTGATTAAGCTTACAGACTATGTTCATAGCGTGAATAACGCCTGGCTCTGTACTTGATGAGTTGAGGCTCTTAGCAGAATCTGTGGTATTAGCAAGAAGGTAAATGACAGAAGTTGTTCATGTCTATTGTGCAACCATCTTTTTGTATCAGTGTCAAGTCTATTGACATCTGCTTGTGATACTTTTTGTCTGAATTTCTGTAAAAGACTGCACACTTTTCCTTTTTGACCTATGAGAAGCATGAGGTGTACAAGCCCTTCATTTTTTCAGGCTTCTTGATTAATACTGCTTTTATCTAAAAGTTTGCTTGTGGGCTATCGCTGCTTTTGTTGTCTGGGAAAGGAGCAGAATTAGGATGGCTGTGATCATATGGTGCAGGGGTTTTCATTGCTACTTCCTCCCCCATTTTACTCCATCAGGAACAACTTGATATGGGAGGTCCAGCTTCTGGACATCAGCACATGAGGTTTAATGCCCGTCTTTGAATGCTCAGATTAGCTTGTGTGCTAGGCTGGTATGTAGCAAAATATGGAAAGATAAACACTAGTGCTAAAAGCGGAAGGTGCCCACATTTGAAAACAGAGCCTTTTGTGAAGGCGAATGAGGGATTTCGTTGCCTCTGAAGCAAGGCCAGCATGGGGCACGCGATGTGGAGAGAAGTGCTGCGGCGGCCGTTCTTGTCGCTGTTCAAAGGCAAGCTGTTCCTGAAGCTGTTGATTCTAGTTTACTTTTAGTTAAGTACACATTGCGGAGGAGACTGGCTTAGGCTTGGAGAGGACTCTGTAAACCACACTGCGTGGATTGTGCTGCAAGATGCACAAATTACGGTGTTTAAGCTGGCTCTGGAATGAGCTGTGGTTGTCTTGTCTCTGTGGCCAGTGGTCAGTTACTGATACAGGCGAGTGAATTTCAGAAGAGCAGAGAAGAGGATTAGAGAGCCGCTTTTGCTAAGGTGAGGGGCAGGTTGGAAATAACTGCAGGATACGTTCTGTAGGTCAGTATGGAGGTTTTCAGTGTCAGATCCACCCTTGTTTGCCTGAGTTCAAGCAATAAACAAGTTTCAAAGCACATCTGATTAGTTTTTTTCCTTTTGAATTAAGCTCTGAAATGCCAGGTAGGCACATTCCCCTTTGAAGTGGTGATGATTTGATGCATGCCCGTCTTGTTTAGGTGGAGAACACATACCCATGCCCAGAGAGGCGTGCTGTGTGGGATGGGGTGTGGGGGTCCCTCGGCCACCCTCCCCTGCTGAGGAGAGTGACCTCCAGGTTGTCCAGCAGTTGGGTGTGGTGGCCAGGAAGGGTGAGAGAGAACATAACCTATTTTTGCTTACTTACAAATTAGGACTGCAGCTTGCCTGCTGATAATTATAACCATCTGTTAGGTTTGTGTGTGTATGTATGAAAACTTCTGTACCAGCCACGTAGACATGCAGTGCTGTACCAACCACATCAGAAGGAGGATGATGGTAATTTGCAGCACGGTTTTCATGGCTGGCTTCCTTTCTCTCTTCAGCTGAAGCAAGAAATATTGAATAACGTGGATGAGAAAGCAACACATCTCTGATTTTTTTTTAAAAAGATGTTAAACTGGAAAAGTTTCTTCCCTGACAAGGTTGCTTGCAGAGCTCCTAGCCACTTCATTACACTGGATGCTCAGTTATCTGTTCTTGAAAGGTATATTCAGTTATTTATGCATCGATTTTTAAATCTGTTTGTGTACTTTAGCAGCGTGTTCAGTTGTAATTTGTTAAACTTGCAGTAATTAGATAGTTTGTCTCCCTCGAAGTCATGAGGGTTCCCTGAGGCAACTAGTTGATGTTTGTGCAGTATTAATCAATAATCACTGTTGGGGTTTTTTCGAATTCTGTTTGCAGACACAGACGCTTTAATATCTAGGTCAGTTGCTCTCTGTGTGACTT